TTGAACACTTTCTGTCCTAACAAGGAGTTAAACATCTAGGAGGCGTTGTATGTCAATGAGGGGATGCTCAGTTTCTCTAGTCCTTCTATGGGGACAGAGTTTCCAGTCACTTTGAAACTGTACAGAGAAGCTCCAAAGGCCTGCTACACATACACATCTAAAAAGATGAAAAATATATATTTTTTAAATTAATGCTTTTACTTAATACAGAGTTTTAAAAATGTAGGTTGTCAACTGCTGGTATGTGTACTGCATAAGGTAGAGTGCATCTTATTGTAAAGTAAATTCATCATAATAGGTTTGAAATTTCAGCAAATCATAGATCCCATTCAAAACAAAGCTATGTATTTTCTAGTTATGAAAAAGAGCAGGATTGTCTGGAAGACATGTATGCACGACTGGAAGAAGGGATAGCCAACAAATGTATATATCAAAATGTGCTTGTAATGTGGGTTTTCTGTAAAAACAATGCTTTTATTAATGGGTGCATGCTTGCAATAATTTGGAAAACACGTTTCAAAACAAATTTAAGTACAGTTGAGTAGTACTTACATGTAAAATACTTTGCCATTTTACCACAGATACTTTTATGTAAACACTGACATTTTAGTGTATATACTGTGAGGAATGGAAGACCCTTTTAGCCTGGAATCTAAACAAAAACCAAACTAAATACTTTTAGGGAGTTCACAAAGATTTATAACGGTGCAGGAAACCGGTGCGAGTGATTAACAAAGCAGATAGACCTGTTTCAGGGGTAACGGTTGCAAGCAGCTACAGCTCTGATGCTCTCTATGCAAAGCATAGAAAACAGAGCAGATCACTCATAATTATAAAAGGAATCTGCTCTGTTTTTTCAGTTTAGAAAAATGGCACAGGCCTTATGCTGGGCCACTCTCAGTCAATTTCCCCATGGCCCTCACTTAAGGTATAAGTTCTTTTAGTGATGTTTTATTTGTATTGCTCCCATGACCTCTCAACCCCTCGCCCCCACCCACAACAACTTTCATACTTATACTACAGACACTGCACAGTCTCTTCTTTACAATATACACTGTAAGGTCAATAAAATATCAACTCTTTATAGCAGTGAATGGAGATTGCGGCACACATGCATAGGACAGAACAGTGAGGATTCTAAAGAAAAAGGCTATGTGGCATAGAGTAGGCCACAGAGCAAATGCTCAGTGAAGCGGGAATACATAAGTTTGACTTGTTATGGAGGGATGAGAGAGCACAAGAAGTGTAACTTTAATAGAAGTGGAGTTACACTTTACACTGAGTCTCAAGTATTGAATAGTATAAAACAGGGTGGTCAGCTGGCAGTCTTTCAAAGTTTATATATATTGTAGGTGTCAATATTATTCAGACAGAGAGAGCACTTTTGTAATAAAAAATAGCACAGATGTAATGTAAATTAATGTACAAATGTGTACATTAAACTTAAAGCAATGTCTTCTATCTTTGTTTTAAACTTAATAATAAAGTAGCAGTCTTCTGTTTTGTGTGTGTTAGCGGTTTTGCCTACCAACTAAGGGAGGATAGCTGAGCCTTCCCAGATACAGCTTGATGAAAGATGCCTACAGCAAGTGCCACAGATCTGAGATCTGAACTGAGCACACAAACAGCATATATGTGGTGTCCCTTTACTGGAATGTGCCACTGTACTGAGCTGTGCTGTATCTGTACGAAAAGTACAATCTTTCTAGGCAGCAAATGTAACACTTTATAATGTACAATGGGCGCCATAAGGTGTTTGCAACTGCTTTAACTGTGCAGCTCACCTCGCCAATGCAAGAAACGTACTAAAAATACAATGCAAATACTGGCTTGAAGTCAGCATTTACATAGAGCTAGGCATGCCCCCTGCCTTCCAAATAACAATGCTTAGGCCTGGTAATATGCCTCTCAAGCATAGAGAATTGCATTGTGGGAAGTTCAGGTATTTTTTTATGGGATCAGAGCAGCAAATTAAGTAGGAGTATAATACCATGTAGTGTAGTAACTATATAGAGTCCACAATGCAACATCACTGTTACTTTTCTGTCTATAAACACAATACTGTTTTTTGTCTATTAAAGTTGATGCCACCATGCCCTCACCACTGCATGTCTGATCAGCAGGCATCAAGCTGTATCTGTGAGGATGTATTTGTTCACAAATGAGCATGTACATTTTTCAAGCTAATTTAGTCCAAAAAAAGCATATCTTAAGCCAAAACATTTTGGATAGAGCAGGGAAGGGTTAAAACCACTGTAAGGTTTTATATTTGCCATGTCATTAGAGAGATTTCCCTATACTTCCAGTCCTGTAGACAAGTAACAGGAAGTGAAAAGATATATTTCCACTGTGATGGAAAACCTGATAGTTGTCACAAGAACAAGTGGTCCCATTGGAAGACTTACCCTCTAGTTTGGTGTTAGGTCAAAATTTTGGATTTATCCTCACTTTCATTCCCAGAGATGATCAGGACAATTAACGAGACAATTAACGAGAGTGAATCTTTTCAACGGTGACAGAGACAGTAAAAAAAAAACCTGACGGGGTTCGATCCCTTCACTGCCCTGCCCACATGAAAGAAAAAGGTTTGCCTTTAGTTAAACTTTAACAACTATCAGGATATAAGGGCAGGAACGCATGGAGAAAGAACATTTGACTACAATTGACTACCTTAGGAACTGTTGAAAAACTGCATAGCTCTGTAAGTTTAGACAAACATCGTCAACTGGCAGTTTAGTGTGTGTAAAAGACATTGATATGTGCTGTTTTACCTACTCCATATATGATTTTCACCAAGAATATGTTGGCTGCCTGGTTTTTACAACTGTACTAGGGATGGGGTGGAGGGGGGGGTTGGGGATGGTTAATGGTTGGAGGGAACATAGGAGTTTTTAAAGGGCAAATATAATGAGGGGCATTTATCAAAACTGGAGTTGTCTATGGCAACCAATCAGCTTCTATCTTTCATTCACAAAGCTTAACTGAACAAACTGAAGATAGAAGCTGATTGGTTACTATGGACAACTGCTCTACATAAATTTTCATAAATTCCCCCCAAAGAGCACATATTTTAAATTAATATTGTACTGTTTACTTTAAAGTATATCTAAACCCATGAACACAAATGTCATATATTGCAGCTTACCAGCTCTTAGATGTGGGGGCTGCATTAGTTTTCTTTTGTTGTCACAAATAATTATTTAGATAACACTACCAAGTGCAAAGGACAGTACTGGATTTCTGGCAGGTGCAACAGTATTTTGTACTTATTGGACCAATTTAACAAAACAATTTCAGTTGTATATTTAACAGGCCTAAAGGAAGCAGCTAAGAGAAATTCATTGTTAGGAATTACATACACGTTAAAGTACTAATTTATGGTTCTTGCACATTTTACATGCTTTCTATTCAATACTTATGTTACTGTATTAAACTTTAGAGAGGCTTAGATTAGCCACTGGGGGGAGTTCTTAAACTCGCTACACATGTTACAATTTGCTGCCCGATTGGATGAAAATGTATTGAATAGATTAGGGAGGTCCTTATATTACATAGATTTGGAAAATCTAAATTGATTGTGCGGTCAGATTGTCAGAATCTAATGTGTATGGCGACTCTTAGGCCACATTCACATGGAGAATTATGCTGCATTCTGGGATTCCTGGGGCAAGAACCTACACATTCTTGTGGCAGGAATCCCAGGTTTCTCCGTTCAGATGTTGTCGTTGTGCACGTTCAAGTTAATGACAGGGGCCGCAAAAGTGGGGTTTGGGATAGATGATTGCCCTGGATGCATCTATACTGTGTTCTGGAACAATGATCTATTCTGAAGCACAGGTAATCGTACCATGTACAACTACATGCCACTGACAGATGCAGCCGCTGTCATCCTGTCATTTGAAAGGGCACAGCAGTCACGTCTGGACATGGACACCTAGGATTCCTGCCGCAAAAATCCTTAGGTGAGCATAATTGAGGATAAACATAGAACCATTTCATCCTAAACTGAATAACCATTTTGGGGTAGGGTTCTACTTTAGGAATTGCTCTGTAAATATTATTGCCAGTCTGTATGATACTCCGTGAATGGGTTACTCAAATGTCTCTTTTGCAATAAAGGCTTATTACTTTCCCATTTGTAATCTTCTTCTGTGTGTACACCATTCAGCCTGTGTGCTGCTCAGTGTGCAATACAGCATCTGCTTGGTGTGGGGATGAAATAACTCTTGTGCGAATGCATGGGAGTTGCATCATCCCGGGGTGGCCCATCAAAATGGCTGAAGATGCCAAACCCAGGAGAGACCAGATAGAAGGTATTGCCAGCAGCAAGGATACTCACGGACATTGCATTGCTTGAGAAGGTGAGTATAGTTCTGCCCAAGGTATAGTTTAAAGCCCAACTTTGGGCATAAGAAAAAAACCTACTGTAGGGGTTAAATGCCCAATAATTCTAGCAGTAGAGTCATCAGGTGTTATACTTGCCTTTTTCCTCGCCCCACACACTCCCTCCCCTCTGTGCCATCTGTCCCCCAAAGCCTCCTCTCTAGGGTGCTCCTAACTGCGGCCGCACACGTACCTCCTCACATACAATGCAGGACTAAAAGCCCTCCATTGTATGTGATGATGGTAAGGGACCGTCAACAGATGAGAGCGTTAGAGATAACAGGAAAATTGCTGGAACTTGACAGGAAGAGGAATGCAGTAAGTAATGCAGGTTTTTTCCTCTACCCCCAAATGAGTATTTAATCCTTGCAGTATAGGTTGCCCCACTGCAAGATATTTTTTTTGCTATCTTAGAGTTGAGCTTTAAGCAACTGTATGTATAATGAGCTCCAATTCAGTACAATGTGCTAACAATTGTAGGACTTTAGACTGAGTTACAGAAGCATCTGGCCTACTTTAAACCCATCAACAGACCATCAAAGAGATACACGATGTGATACATGCAAGACAAAGAGTACAATGCTGGAAGCTTCAGATATAATTACAAAACCAACATTTTAGGAAGCAAAGAAACCTTTAACGATGTCTTATTACATCTTGAAAAACACATTCTCAATTCCAGTTAAGCAAAAAATTCACATATTCTAACCTGCATAGAGAATTATTTGAAGGCTCCTGCGTTAAACATACTTTTTTTTTTCATCTGTGCAGTCTTTGGGTCACAACTTCCCGATACATAATAGAAATATAAATAAGCAATAAAAAAAGGACAAAGAAATCATCCATGAAACCTAGAATACCAAAGAGAGCTTCGGGAATAATGTCCAGTGGTGACACAAGATAGAAAAAGGCTCCTAGCAGACAGAGGACAATTCTGATTCGGAACATCCAGAAGAGCCCACCCACAGAAAACATCTCTCGAAATGCATGACGTAACAAGGTCGGCAGATCCATAATCCTTTCCATAAGCTAGAATAAAAAAAATACAAATCAAAGTGAATTCCCTCTTAACAGTTAACAATACACATATAAAGAAGTATGTACTGAGCGAAATATGAAGGCTGCCATTGCTGAACTTTGCTTCCGAAAATGCCAGCTGCTTGGCTATTATGTTTATTGAGTGCCTTCAAGCCTAACTCCATGTCCAAAATGTTTGTTTCCCTAGTTTTGAATTAGGTGGGGAAGAGTTAAAATGTCTGTCAGGTTGTTGTTTCTGTCTTCACTTGGGGTTTCACTTCCTATCCCTGTAACACGTATGCCAAAAATAGGGTGTGCGATTGTCACCAAGACAGGCAAGCATAGTCAGCAATAAAAAACATCTCTAAAAAAAAATGTGTCCCAAAAAGCACAATAAATCCCTGACAGATGTTTTAACCCCTCACTGTTCTATTCAAAATGAAATAAAAATGTTTCATTGCTTTGCGTCACTAACCCAGAACAAGTATGCAGATAACAGGTTCTGACTTCATTTTGACTTTCCTTGCTATATGCGTCTAAGTGTATTGTTTGGGGCACCTAGTACGACCTTCCATCTCACTTTCAATTCCTTAAAAATCTTTACTTGTTAGAAACAACAGATACAGCCAATGGGTTTCAGGGAAAAGGACTTCTTCAGGACTTTAACAATCAATTTACATTGTAATCAGTATGAAATTACATAGAAAGCCTGAAATGAGGCTGGATTAAGTCTACTGTGTTCTTAATACTTGTATACATGCCCTGTGTGTCTTTCCACCTGGAAAAAACTGAAGCCAGAGACAACGAAGCAACCAGCATTTCCACAACTGAGTTAACAGTGGCTATAGATTTAGCTCAGTATTATTAAAAGGAGGACTATGAGGTGAGTGATTTCCACTCACCCTCATAGTTAGAGCCGACTTGTGACAAAGAAGCCGTCACAGGTTGGCTCTATCGATCGGGAAGTGAGCAAAAACATGCACCGATTTGCTTATTTCCCGATCGTCTCCCAGCAGTGAGCGATGACCGTCAGTCACCACTCCCCGCAGGGATTCTCCCTTCCCTCTCAGATCCTCCAGCGCTGACTGGAGGAATGAACAGGGCATGAGGCGGGCACAGCTGTCTCTTCCTCTAGATAGGCAGAGCTAGCTGTCACTCACGCAGCTGGGTGGATCTCGACAGTATTGTTGGGATCCGTCCCGGCTGCGGCGCTCTCAGTATGCGATATACTGAGCTTTGGGTCACAGGAGGAGGTTAGTATATGCCCTCCCGTGACCCTAAAGAGAACTATGAGGAAACCCCACTTAGGGGGGTTTTGTACATGATTTCCATGTACAAAATGTTCAATGGTGGTAGCAACATTAGTGATAAACTGTTTAAAATTACGGTAACTCCGTAAAAACTAGAGGCCACCACCTAAAATTGGTGGAAAAAAAATTCCAGCACAAGGGGCGAAGGGGGTTCTTCACAGTAAGATCAGTTAGGGTCTGGAACTCACTGCCACAGACAGTGATTTCAGCAAAGAATGTGGAATTGTTCAAGAAACTTTTGGACGATTTCTTAAGGGACCGTAATATACAGGGGTACAGGTACTCCTAGAATGAGATCCTAATAGGTTGGACTTGATGGACTAATGTCTTTATTCAACCTCAAATACTATGTAACTATGTAACTCCATAGTTCTCTTTTAAAGATATACATTTTATTATTGCGGCTCATAGCCCTTCTGTTTTTCCACCTCACATTTTAGATCTGTCAAATATGACATAACAGATGACCAATGTCACAATCTAAAGTCCACTGCTTCTGTTTGCTATCCATACACAGTTATAATCAAAATACATGCTCAAATATTTACAGATTGGTCCATGAATGGCTTAATAAAGGCCTACAACATACAGATGACTGAAAATCTTCAGTCATCTGTATGAGTGTGTGTTGTGTAAGGGAGAACAATATAGGCCAGAAATCTCAAACATCACCAACAGGCTTTTCTCCTAATGGAAATCTTTGGGTCCACTTGCTGTGGGAATTGGTGCTCCATGTTCTCCTTAAAAAGGAAAGCCATCCAAAGTAGTGGACTATCCTCTTTATAGTTCTTGATTTCACTCCACCGGTCAGTTCCCCATGAAGGTGTCACACTACCATTGGTGGAATCTACAGTTAAGGTAGTTGTGGAAACCCCATCAGAGGGCACGTGGCACACTTTAGCGTTATATAAAATCGGTATGGAATTTCATCAGGGCTGGATATCTTACTAACTACATTCCCAAAACAAAAAGGAAGCAGGTAAGTGAAAAAGCCAACACATTTTAAGATTGAAATATCGGATTTGGGTGAACTTGGCATTTAAGCCTTAGTGCGCATAAAAACTAATACCTTATCTGTATTTTAAGCCAGTGCAGCAAAGAAATACCCGAGAAGTCTAACAACAGACAAGAACATCAAAAACAGCTGGTTTTGGGCACAACTGGTCATATACATGGCTGCCATAGCTAAATCATTAGACCTAAAAGATCACATTTTACATTTAGTTTTAAAGTACATCTGACTCTAATTCAAATAATGTTGGCCAAAGAGAGATTAAATAGGAAGCAAACAAAGAAATGGATCTCTGTTGCTGTACTGAGAAGTAGAGAAAGGACCCAGTTTAAGTTGTTTAAATTTGACTTATGCAATTTGCACTTACAGAACGAGGCTGTCCTGAAAATCTTCTGTTATAACTGTTAACTTCCTGAAATATCGCTTGCACATCTTGTTGTTCAGTGACTTGAAACATCGGAAATAGTAACGTTACCTAGAATTAACAGCCAGTTCAATTAAAGAGCCAAATCCACTCAACAAATGTTGTCTGAAAGTCTGAAAACGCAATCACACAGTTAAAACACAGATTAATTATTCATTCCACTAATCTATTATTTAGTGACACTGCACTGGATTAGAGTAGAGCCATAATAAAAAAAAAAAACCACACTTCACATATTAACAAAGCACGTGTTAACGTGCATCTAAACCCAAGAACACACATTTTACATTTTGACGCTTACTGGTTCTTAGGTGAATTGGCTGAATTTGTTTCTTTTTTAGACTAAGAACATTTTCAACAAGTACAAAAATACCTGTTGATCTTAGCAGAAATGCAGTGTTCTGGTCACTTCCTGTGATTTGAAATGAAATCAGTTTTACCTGCCTTCTCAGCTTTTTTATGTAAACTACACCCCAACCATCGTACATGTAATGGAGATGGAGAGGAGGATGTATTTGTAGTCCAAATCAGGACAGCAATCTAGGTGAAAATGCTACGCTTTCATAGACACAGTACTGTGAGAGAGCATTGCAACACCCAAGTACAGGAAGAGAGTTACTGATAGGATCACCAGGTGAAAAATAAAAAAAGACTAATGCAACCACATCTAAGGACCAGGAGTGTTACTATATAACTTTTTGGTTTGGGGTTTAGATATGCTTTAACATTATCTAATTTCACTTTGAGTAAATGAGTACCTCTTTTTTTTTTCTTTTACTCGAATAAAAGGCTCTGCTGTAAGCTCTCTTAGATGACCTTAGTCTAGATGAAAACACTATCACCCAGGTGCATGTTTATCACATTATTGGAGTCTTATTTTCATTGAGACTGTATATACAATGGTAAATATGGCTGCCTTACATACAACTATAATTACAAATTATAAATAGGAACACCGTTTTTTAGGGCTACAACCAACTAATCGATTAAATCAATAATAATCATTTATGAAAATAGTTGTCAACTATTCTCATTATAGTTGGTTTGGACGCCCAGCTCCCTCCTCCTTGCTGGGAGGAGGGCAAAGCATGCAGTGGGCGGGTGCAATAGCCAGCCTGCTATTGCAATTTGAAATGGCCAATAGCAGGCTGGCTATTGTCGCAGCCCACTACCTGCTGTATTTATATTCAGCAGCCGTCTGCGGAATCTTGCCACTGGCAGCTGTCATTTCCTGGCCAGAGCTATTCAGGCTTACAATACAATTATTTAAAACTAATAATAATAATAATAATAATAAGGTGGGAAAAAAGTCATTTTCGCTTTCGGCCTGACAAATTCTGCTGTGGGAGGTGCTTTGCAGATCCACAGTGTGATTGCTCGCACGGGAACACAAGGTACCGCAATGCTGTATGTTCCAGTGCAGTGCGATTGCAAAAACATTATGTAGTTTTTGTAGTAAACGTTATGTTTGTAAAACTGCATTTGTACATTTTGTTTTAAATTAAGGATGGTTTTTAATTTTATTTGTCCGATTAATTAAAAAAATTATCGGGCAACTAATAAATTATGAAAATAATCATTAGCTTTTATTTTCATTAGCACAGACTCATCATGACAAAAATATGAGGGCTACAATTGCTGGCTTCTAAAAATGCCAGCTGCCTGGCAGTGTCAAGCTTCAATGCTACTAAGTCACAGACCAGGAACAAGCATATAGTAAATGAAATTCCCACAGAAGTCAGACTTCCTTCTCTTTATACTTGTTCCAGTTCAACGACTCAAAGCGCTAAAACCAAAGCATCAACATGAAAGCCAAGAAACCAACTACATATTTCTCTGATGACAGCTTTCCTTTAATTTGATCTCTTTAACCTAATTATCTAAAACAGTGGTTCTCAACCTGTGTAACCTCAGGACCCACTTTTGTCCTTGGTCATTAAGTCGCGACCCATTTATGTCTCCCTCCTGAACATGGGCCGCTCTTTGCAGGAAGGACGCCGCGACCCACTGCAGAAGGTTACAGTCCATGTACCCATTGCACTCCTGACCGCACGTCCAACAAAGTATCCTGGGTGCTCAGTAGTCGACGGATGGCCACCGTCAAAGTAATGCAGAAAAGAAATAGACACCGGCACTCCAATAATAAATCGATTACGTCTATTTATTGACGTACATCAAAAGCAAAATAACACACTTAGTGCGACGTTTCGGGGACACACAGGAACCCCTTCATCAGGCAAAACAAGTCCACTTGTTCTCCACTGCAGAAGGTGTCGCGACCCACTTTTGGGTCGCGACCCATGAGTTGAGAACCACTGATCTAAAACATTAAAGAGAATATAGTCTCCCTCTCAATACAGATATACAATGTAAAAGTACAATGTTGCATCACACTTAAGGCAGGAGTGGCTAACTCTGGCCCTCCAGCTGTTGTGGAACTACAAGTACAATGAGACATTGCAAGACTGACTGCCACAGTAATGACTCCCAGAGGCAGATGCATGATGGAATTTGTGGTTAAAGCACATCTGGAGTGTCGGATTTGCCCACCCTGTCCTAAAGTGTAATTAAAGCCAAAATTGTTTTTCAAAATTTGGATTGAGTGGTGAGCAGTTAGAACCTCTGTCCAGGTTTTAGAACTAGAACAAGAATAGAGGGGAGATCTTCCAATGGAAACATTTGCTCTGGTGACAACTGTCTAAGAGGGGATTTCCCTTGCATTGTGCAGATATTTTCTCACTTCCTGTGTAGTCTACAAGACAGGAAGTGAATGGAGCTCTTTCTAATGGGACACAGATGGCAAAAAAACTGGCATCAGGTTTAACACTGCTAAAATTTTAAAAATGGCTTTAAATATACTTTAATATCTGCCAATTTCCTACACTTTAGATCCTACAGGTATTCATCAGCTCTAACATATCTGGATTTATTGCAAATATATATATATTATACTCCCCATCTTGATCTGAAAAATGCTGCTTACTGTTTGACGGCAAATGGGACAGCTAATAGCACCAAGCCAGGATCCATACCTCCAATATGCAATGATACATGGACCTGTCAAGACATTTTTTATGTTTATTTAAATGTATGAAACAACAAATTCCACATAAAGTAAATGCTACCCCATTATGTACCTGATTTATTTATAAAGCAAATAAATAAAAGGCCTGTTTTCATATCAATTAGTTATTAATTTTAATATACACTATATTGCCAAAAGTATTGGGACACCCCTCCAAATCATTGGATTTAGGTGTTCCAATCACCTCCATGGCCACAGGTGTGTAAAATCAAGCACCTAGGCATGCAGACTGCTTCTACAAACATTTGTGAAAGAATGGGTCGCTCTCAGGAGCTCAATGAATTCAAGTGTGGTACCGTGATAGGTTGTCACCTGTGCAATAAGTCCATCCGTGAAATTTCCTTGCTACTAAATATTCCACCGTCAACTGTTAGTGGTTTTATAACAAAGTGGAAGTGACTGGGAACAACAGCAACAGCAGCCACGTAAAATGACAGAGAGGAGTCAGCGCATGGTGAAGCGCACAGTGTGCAGGGGTCGCCAACTGTCTGCAGAGTCAATAGCTGCAGACCTCCAAAGTTTGTGTGGCCTTCAGATTGGCACAACAACAGTGCGTACAGAGCTTAATGGGATGGGTTTCCATGGCCGAGCAGCTGCATCCAAGACTTACATCACCAAGTGCAATGCAAAGCGTCGGATGCAGTGGTGTAAAGCACGCAGCTACTGGACTCTAGAGAAGTGGAGACGTGTTCTCTGGCGTGCCAAGTCACGCTTCTCTATCTAGCACTCCGATGGACGTGTCTGGGTTTGGTGGTCGCCAGGAGAACGGTACTTGCCTGACTGCATTGTGCCAAGTGTAAAGTTTGGAGGAGGGGGGATTATGATGTGGGGTTGTTTTTTCAGGGGTTGGGCTTGGCCCCTTAGTTCCAGTGAAGGGAACTCTTAAGGCATCAGCATACCAAGACATTTTGGACAACTTCATGCTCCCAACTTTGTGGGAACAGTTTGGGGATGGCCCCTTCCTGTTCCAACATGATTGCGCAACAGTGCACAAAGCAAGGTCCATAAAGACATGGATGAGCGAGTTTGGGGTGGAGGAACTTGACTGGCCTGCACAGAGTCTTGACCTCAACCCGATAGAACACCTTTAGGATGAATTAGAGCGGAGACTGTGAGCCAGGCCTTCTCGTCCAACATCAGTACCTGACCTAACAAATGCGCTTCTGGAAGAAGTATTTTGTGAAGTGCAGCATCCCCAGCACTCCTTGTCAACTGAGCATCTTTAAATAAATAGAAATCGCCAACAGATATTAGCAAACAGTCAATTTGCCAATTTTCAAGCTCCTGGCTTCCATGCTAGCTCCAGATCTGCTACCAAATCCGATGTTCCCCAACAAATAGGCACAAAACCTGTGTGAACACCTTTGGGATGAATTAGAGCGGAGACTGTGAGTCAGGCCTTCTCGTCCAACATCAGTACCTGACCTCACAAATGCGCTTCTGGAAGAATGGTCCCATAGACACACGCCTAAACCTTGTAGACAGCCTTCCCAGAAGAGTTCAAGCTGGCAAAGGATGGTCCAACTCAATATTGAACCCTATGGACTAAGACTGGGATGCCATTAAAGTTCATGTGCGTGTAAAGGCAGGTGTCCCAAAACTTTTGGCAATATAGTGTATGTCTAATAGGAAATAGCAGTAGACGTAGTTCACTTTCTTACTGTCTCTGGCTAACAGAAGCTTTATATGAAATTATATGGAGGATATCCTTTTCACTACAATAAATGAAAACCCTACACATTCCCCTTAAAGATGGAACAGCCCTAGCCCTGCTCAGTTTAGATTGATACTTGCCACAGAAGAGATGTCCACAGTTTGTTTCCACTGGAAACGTAGCCTGTTGTAAACAGACTGGACAAGACATGTCTGAGTAAAACTGTTGCCGCTCATGGATTGCCGTTTCCTGAAAAATACAAAGCAGAAATCCAGCAACACATACATTAAACACATCTCTTATTATCCAAAAAAACAGAGGCATTTATTGTATTCATTATTTTACCGAACTAGGGCAACCACAGATGTGGGGTGTGGTGTTTTGTATATATATATATGTTCTCTCTTCCTACATTCTACATCGTGATTCCTTAATATGGTGACGAGGGAGCACGAGGGAGCATGGAGCCAGCTTGCCGGCCAATCAGGAAGCCGGGCAGCGTGTAATGACTCGCTGCCTAGCTTCCTGATTAGTCAGGAAGCTGTCCAATCAGGAAGCCGAATGGCGAGTCATTACCCGCCCCCGGCTTCCTGATTGGCCAGAATGGGGGCAATATACCATCAGCTATAGAGGAATACAAATCCCAGCAATACATTATACACCGTATGTATAATGTATTCCTGGGATTTGTTGTATTCCTCTATAGGTGGTGGTATTCTGCATTGCGCTGTATAGAGGACTACAAATCCCAGCAATAATGCATTATACTGCACAATGCAGAATACCACCAGCTAGAGAGGAATACAACAAATCCCAGCAATAACACATTATACAGCGGCACAATGCAGAATACCACCAGCTATAGAGGAATACAGCACATCCCAGCAATAATACATTATACTATAAAAGAAACACTATAAAAAAAATATTTCTTTCAGAAAAAGAAATGAAACCTTTAAAGAAAACAATACAGTCCCTACAGTCAAACATGATGGAGGTTCATGATGTTTTGGGGTTGCTTTGCTGCTTCAGGCATTGGATGTCTTGACTGTGTGCATAGCATTATGAAATTTGAAGACTACCAAAGAATTCTGGGGTGCAATGTAGGGCCCACTGTCAGAAACTTGGGTCTCCGTCAGATGTCATGAGTCTTACAGCAGGACAATGACCTAAAGCACACATGAACAAGAGGTCCCAGAAATGGTCTCAGACAAAGTGCTGGAGAGTACTGGACTGGCCAGCAATGAATCCAGATCTGAATCCCATAGAGCACCTGTGTAGAAATCTTCAAACAGCAGTTGGGAAAAGGAACCCGTCCAATCTGAGAGACCTGGAGCTGTTGGTGAAAGAAGAGTGGTCCAAAATTCCTGTAGAGAGGTGTAAGAAACTCATTGATGGTTACAGGAAGCAATTGATTTCAGTTTTTTTTTTACAGTTTTTTTTTTCTTCAAGGGCTGTGCTACCAAATATGAATTGAGGGTGCCAATAATTTTGTCCAGTCCATTTTTTGAGTTTTGCGTGGAATGTGTCAGATTTTGCTTTTTTTTTCTCCACTTTTTGTGTCATACCAACACAAACAAAAGAAATAAACATGAGAATGCCTAAACATTTGTCATTGCAACAATTTTCTTCGCAAAGTGGTGCATTATCTGACAGAAATGCAGGGACACCAATATTTTTGGCCATGACTGTACAGATTGTAATACCCACTGCAGGTGTCCAAAACGTAGTCCTAAAGAGCAGAGGTCTCACCACAAAGAGACCGTTAAGAGAAATAACTCGCCGGAATCCAGCAAAAACTAAAATATCTCTTACATTTTTAATATGCATGCTTTGTAGAGTAGTTATAGTGTTTTGGTATCAATGTATAAAGCCTTATGAAATACATTGATCCACATGTGCTAACACATATCATTAAGGACAAGCTCTAAACTTAGAGAGTCTCATGTATAAAACTTTCGTCCTGCTATAGAACTTTTGTCCTTGCACTAGTGCCCCTGGATGCGTTGATGAGTATAATTTCTATACTCATCAACGCTATCTAGGGGTGCTAATGTCATGCCAACGGTATATGCCTGGGTATAGTTTTATACAGAAGGCCCTTAAGGATCTCCTTAAAATTCCAGAAAATATTTTAGTGCCCTCCAAAGGAAATTGAAATTAACTCACCTGTTCATTTTGTAGCTGCTCCCTTATGGCTCTCACCCTTTCTTGGTTTTCAGGGTGAATATTGATCTGCTCATTTCTGTTTAAAACATGGATATAATGAAAAAAATAAATACCCGTCTTTACTCAGATCTGGGGTAATATTTGAGCCTCCTCATTAGCCCTCTACTGAAATGAGAGCTTAAAGAGGAGCTTTACCCATATCTTTAAAATTACAACAAATACTAGAAATGTTTAGTAATGCCAATCTACAAACACATACTTCTAGATAATTGCCGGCTTTATATTCTTTGCATACCTTATTTCTCTTTTCCCCCAGTCTTCTCACAGTGGCCATTTTTACTAAGAGCAAATTAATCCATCTCCCTTTATTTCCTGGAACTCTGGCACATGTGACTAGGACATGTGACCATGCACATTATCTCAGGGGAGGAAAATGCCTTTCCCTGAGATCTCATGGGATTGCAGATGAGATTTACCAGCAATGCACTGCTGATGTAAGCTCCCAGGATGCAACACTTGGGCACATTACATCACTTTTGCCAAAAAGAACCAGTTAATAGAAAGCAAGAAATTGTAAGTAAAATAAGTTTGTTTAGCTAATGAATGTGAGATGATTTCATGTCAGCATGCAAAGCTGTATGCTGATGTGTTTTTAGCCAAAGAGGGTAAAGGTCCACTTTAAGTCTCTCTGTATTTTGTGAAGTGCAGCATCCCCAGCACTCCTTGTCAACTGAGCATCTTTAAAGAAATAAAAATCTCCAACAGATATTAGCAAAGAGTCAATTTGCCAATTTTCAAGCTCCTGGCTTCCATGCTAGCTCCAGAGCTGCTACCAATCAGATGTTCCCCCTACAAACAGGCACAAAACCTGTTGTGATAGTTGAAGTCAGCGAGCTTCTATATTACATAAAATTAACAACTGTCTATCCGCACAGACTGGCTTCCGATTTAGGATCAGGAAGACCAAGAAGCTATCAAAACAAGTTCTAGAGAAGCATACATTCAGTGTGATTACAAAGGATATTCCAGATTCTGAAACTCACCTGTAAACACAGTTAAAATCATTATAAAAAATAGTATTTATAGGACACAACTATAACTCTTCCTAAAGAGGGCCATCTACCAAATTTCAGTGATTGGATAAGGAAGGCCTTAGTCAGAAAGGTAACCAAGATGTCAATAGTAGCTCTGAAGGAACCAAAGGAATCCAATTAAGAGAAGAGAAACTCTCCATGAGAAGGCTATAACCTGGATGCTCCTAAAATTTTGAAAACTGTGATTGAGGCCCTATAGCAGGGCTTTGAACCTAAATACACTACTAAAGCTACAGTGGAGTGGCTTAAAACTTTAAAATGTTAAAGCGGAACTGCAGTACCACACTTCCGTTTCCAGAGCTGTCAGAGGCCAGGAATGGATTTGTAATACTAGGTCAGCTAATGTGGAGATAATTATCCCAAGGTATCTTGACCCATTTATTAGCGCTGCCTCAAACCTTGTAATAGAGGCATGCCCTGAACCAAAATGCAAATAAAGCTCTACTGTAGACTGTTCTAGATCCACTGTAAGATGCTGACAGCCTAATTAAATATCTTTCTACCAACATGTAAGTTTTGTATCGGGCCTCCTCCACTGCACACTCCTTGGATGGAGTATGATGGAGACGGCAACCCACAGATGCAGCAGTGCCGTCCGTCCGTTTTTCTACTACGGGCGGACGGCAAGAGGTTAAACCGGTGTATCATATAGCTTATTTGGCTTGTAGAGCTGGTGTTGGTGCAAGAGCTAATAATACAATTATGGATAAAATAGACTAAATGTATGTCTGTATAAACAAAACACATACACTATATCTGCTATAAATATATGATACCTGATTCCTCTGTCATTTTATTGCACCCACATTAAAAATTATACAAATACATCCACTGACTACATAACATTTACACTGAAAAAAGTCACATTGCAAAATGCCATCATTATATAGTAGACACATTATTTCAGACAGCTACAAATCAAGAGCTGTGCTTGGTTAACATACCTTAGGAGCAGAAAATAAATAAGTGTAGCAACAAAGCTCAGACTGAGTACAACTGCAACAATCACTTGATTGCTTACTCCTTCAATAAATGACCCATCATCCAACTGTAGTTGCAGAATATCGTGTTGGTTTTCAGCCATTCCAGAATATAGGCATTAATACCTAAAAGACAACAACATGTTAAGTACATAACATATGTAGTTTACATTCAAATTGAAGTGAATGCTCTGCAAGTCTAAGTATTTCAAAATCACAGCATTTTACACCCGACATGTCTATGTTATTATTAATCATGATACATAGAGGGATGCATTGGTAGAATTAAATTTGAGTGTAAAGGTCCGCTTTAAAGGAGAACTATGAGATGAGTGATTTCCACTCACCTCATAGTTCTAGCCGACCTGTGACAATGAGACTGTCACAGGGCGGCTCAGTAGATCGGGAGCTGAGCGAACAGATACCGGGTTCGCTCACCTCTCGATCCTGTCACGGCTCTCTGCCGTGACAGGGGAGGGGCTGGATTCCCCTCTCCCTGCTCCGATCCGCCAGCGCTGACTGGCAGATCGGACGGGGGAGGGGGCAGGTACAGCTGGCTCTGCCTCTAGATAGGCAGAGCCAGCTGTCACTCACGCAGCTGGGTGGATCTCAACATCGATGTCGGGATCCACTCCGGCTGCGGCGTCTCAGTATACCGCGAGCTGTAGCTCGTGGTATACTGAGCTTTGGGTGACAGGAGGACGCTAGTTTGTGTCCTCCCGTTACCCTAAGGAGAACTATGGGGAAAAACACTGACCCCATAGTTCTCCTTTAAGTTTAAAGGTGGCCGGTCAGGGGGCGGTGGAAACAAGAGTCAACGTCCTGTTTTTACTGCCTCTTTAGCTCTGTGAGGCCTAATTGAGCAACACCCTTAGAGGGTTTCTAAACCCTCACTTTACTGCTAGCAAGCAGTAGATATATGCAAAAAGTTTTTTTTTCAACAAAAAACGCTCTAAAAGCGGTTTAAACTTACCCGTCTTTGCCGCGCGCTCCCGTCCGAAAATCCGAAAATGCTCGGGCGGCCGCACAGCATCTTGGCGCGGGCGCATGCGCAGTTCGGATTTTCACCCGGGAGACGAGGAGAGACACAAGGTAAGTCTATGGACGCGTGCACCCGCATGTAGACACCGTGGGACAGGAGAGAAGGCTGAAAAGAACAGGAAAGAAGAGGAAGATCAGATTAAGAGACATCATTTAAGGTAAGTGCTTTAATTAACATTGGGGGGAGGGAAAAAAGTTTTTGACCTTAATGTCACTTTAAGGAGAATTCCACCACCTTGTATTAAAACCCATATCACGGTCTTGGACCTAAAACAAAAATGCAGTCACATACTTGAAGGTCGAAGAGATACTTACATCACATTGATCAGAGACTTCATAAGCTATGCATACAATGATGTTGTAACGAGTGCTTGTAAAATGGCACGCTATAATTTCCACGCTATAACAGGAGCAGTGTCTCTGTGGCAATTTGCACAGAGTATGAAGAAATCTAATCAAGAATAATACATTAATTTGTTGAGTGTCAAATGTGATGTACTGTATGGTAATTCTTTGTATTGTATAGCGTGCATGCTATTATTTAACAGCCCAAAGGGCACCAGTAACTCACTGCAAACATCCACACACTCTGTTTTGCTTAATTCTTTCTCCCTTCACTGGCCTATGCAGTGTGTCAAACAGAAGATTTCTTCACACAAGTGTATTCGGAATGTTTCAACAATCAGAAGGCTTTAAGGAGAGCTGCCTGAAGGAGCGACCTTAAAAATATGCAGCTGGATGTTGAAGTTTGACCATACTGATAAAAACTTTATGAAGTACATAGGGCGTGTGTAGTAAGGCCAGTCCTTCTGCCCCGCTGTCACTCCCCCTTGAGCTTGCTGACAATTCCCCACTATCAAAATGACAGTTGGGAGTTGCTATGTACATGCAGCAGCTGTAAAATAGAGAGATACAAAATAACATAAAAGGGAATTTGTCAAAACTGGAGCAGCTGCCAACGGCAACCAATCAGCTTCTAACTTTCATTTTCAAAGCTTTACTGAACCAACTGAAGATAGAAGCTGGTTGGTTGTCATGGGCAACTGCTCCAGGTTCTGTCTGCTCCAGTTTTGAAATACATATGGGGGAATTTATTAGTTAGTTTGCCACAAAATGTCATGCTAACTAACCGCAAAGTTTTATCTCTGTTATGCATCTTTTTTATGTGTTCTAGGGACATGTTAACATTTCCGAATTACTGCACGTTTTGCATAATATTTCAACTGCGCAGTATTTGTGTACAGCATTTGCGACAGTAAAAGACCTCCAAACAGATGCACATTCTAGAAGTTCTCCTGAGTACTTTGTTAATTGCCTATGGGCATGGTTCTCACCTGGGCGTTTTACAGCGCGTAGGAACGCACTGTAAAACGCCCTACGCCCAAAGAAGTACAGGAGCTTCTTTGGGGCATATTTGCAGCGTGTATCCATTAGGATACAGCCGGATAGTCCTCGGAAACGCGCGTTTGTGACACGTTTCTTTTACCGCAAATCACAGTAAAAACGCGCGGCAAATGCGCATATTTCGTACCCCCAGGTGTGAACCCAGCCTTAGTTTACCATATTCAGTACAAATCAACCCCTTCTTCTCCTTGTACCCTTAGCTTAATTCCCTGATTTTTTTGTTTTCTTTCTTTGTTACCCCCTTGCAATGGCAGCCTCCATACTTCTCTCATGACAGAGTTACTTTAAGAAACACTTACAGGTCTAGTTCCTTCTCTAGACTGTGACAGATCAGAGAAAGGAGAAGCAGCACACTCATTAGCGCATCTGTCACTATGGTCTTTCCTTCTATCAGCATACTTCTTGTTAATATATGAGCACGGCAGCACAGCTGACTGGCTCTTTCATCTCTGAGCTCTGATGCACAACAACCTGCAGAAAGCGAATACCAAATTAAATTCAGGTTGCAATGCTTGACTTAGGGGTAGGAAGACTATAACCCATTTGTCAGTGCTGCCATGTATATGACCAGGAAAATACATGTAATGATGTATTAATGACTACACAATAGCATTAATTTGCCTTTTATTTCTTCCTGCTGCCCAGCTTTAAGTAACATAGCTCTACAAAAGCTATAAGTTATATATATTTTAGTTCTGTTCTCAGATATAAATCACTTAGCAGAAAGTGAAACACCTGATCATTTATCTTCTAGCTAAATGCCATTTATCATTTTAATCTTCAGTTCTATGCACATTAAATCATCTTTTTTTTTTTTTCTTATTTATAAATCAAGATTTTTCAGTATGAACAGTAAAACAAAAAAGAAGATAATACAGAACAAAGTATTGAGTACAAAGAATGATATTGTCAATCGAGATACATCAAGGTCGGCGTTTCACAATAAATGAATCCGTAAAAGACCTGACTGCGACTGCTCCAGGTACCCTGAGTAAGTCAGTCAATTATCTCAGAAGTCATGGCGTATACTTAGGAAAAGAGGTAGATTAAAACAAAAAAACAGACCAAAAAAAACCCAGTACATATATCCAAAAATGGCTCGATTGGAAAATGGTAAGTTGGTAAGATAGTTTGGTATTATTAATGATGGGCAGTCCAATATGAACCGGCCAAGGGATCTTCCAGCACCGGGGGGGGGGATAAGTAGATAAGAGAAAAATAAATAAATAGAGAAGGATAGAAAAAGATAGAGAGAGAGAAAAAGAGGGGTGGGGGGGGGGAGAAGAGAGAGGGAGGCAGAGCAGAAGTGAGAGAGAGCGACCACAGGTACACATGGCAGATCCCCCTCAAGGTCCCCCATACATCTAGCTCTGATTGCTAGTCAGCTACAAAGAGCCTATGCTTATTGTACGATAATCGCGGGTGATCCCGCGATCGTACGATAATCGGCAAGTGTATGGGCAGCGTGCGACCGCTTCTACTGTAAGGTCGCACGACTTTCGTCTTCCGAGCATGCTGGAAAACCTGCCGAAAATCGTACGATTTTTGGCGGGTTGGTGGCGTGCTCGGAAGACGAATGCCGCATGGGCCGGTGTGTGCAATGCCCGCTCAGCACTGCAATCATTGCAAGCCCTCCCCTTTAGCGGTGAGGGCTTGCGATGATCACAGATACGATCTGCCTGTCCAAGATGGGCAGATCGTATTAAATTTTAATGACCTTACAACCATCGAACAACGAAAGTCGTGCGATTGTTGTAAGGTGTATGGCCAGCTTAAGTCTATAGGCAGCCGTGTGTAAACAGATCAGCATCCGTTTACCAATCAGCCCCCACTTTCGCAAACTGGAAATATGCACCAAAAAGTCAAGACTCCCTAGGGAAATTACATCACCCAGTTTCCATGATTTTATCATGATATTAGCAGTTTATGAAACCCTCATTTTTAATAAAAAAGCTAAAAAAATGCTTAAATATAAAAGATGAGGTTGCATCAAGTAAATAGATACCAAACATGTCAAGCATAAAAATTGCATGCACACGTGAAATGGTGAAACACTTTGGTACTCAAAATGGTTCACAGGTGACAGTTAAAAGCCTCTACAGGTCATAACTTTCGTGTTTACCGTGAATAATGGCCCTAGAATTATTGTTCACACTGCAGTGTGCGTGGCAATACCAAACATGTGTGGCACAATCATAATTTTTCTATGTAGGAAAACCCGATGCATGCTTTATGTTCATATATATGTGCATGTGGGGGCAAGGGCTTTAAAAATCTTTTTTGGGCTATTTTCAATTGATTTTATTTAACTTGAATGCTTAAGCTTTTTTATCACTATAACAGAAGCACATTGGAGGTGACAGGTTCTCTTCAAGAAGACATTAGGACTCGGAGTCTATTATCTCACCTTTGCAGCCCATTGAAGCTAATCAGGCACAGATGGCTGGGGAATGACAGCTCTAAAACCAGAAGTGACTAAATCCTGGTTGCTTCTGCGCTCATTCAATAGAGAGTGGATGTTTGCTGGTCTACTCTATAGCAGCCGGCATCCCCTATGGCCCTCAATTAGGGATGCACTGGTGCCAATACTGAGTATTTGGGTGAGTACTCGTACTTGCCCAAATGCTCCTGATGCCTATGCCGATACTGGAACTTCCAGTATCAGGAAGCCAGGTGGCGAGTCATTACACGCTGCCCGGCTTCCTGATTGGCCGGGAAGCCGCCTCCATGCTCCCTCTTCACCAGGGAGCATGGTGCTGGTTTCCCGGTCAATCAGATAGCCGGAGGGCGAGTCATTACCTGCCCCCTGGCTTCCTGATTGGCCAGAAAGCCAGCTCCATGCTCCCTCGTCACCAGGTGACAAGGGAGCATGGAGCCGGCTTTCCGGCCAATCGGGAAGCCGGAAGCTGTGTAATGACTCGCTGCCCAGCTTCCTGAGTGGTCAAGAAGCTGGCCAATCAGGAAGCCAGGCGGCGAGTCATTACCCGCCTCCCCGGCTTCCTGATTGACCAGAAAGTCGGCTCCATGCTTCCTCGTCACCTGGTGACGAGGGAGCATGGAGAAAGCTTCCTGGCTAATCAGGAAGCCAGGCGGCAAGTGATTACACGCCACCTGGCTTCTCGGCTAATCAGGAAGCCGGATGGTGAGTCATTACACGGCTTCCTTCTCATATCGGTATTCGGTATCGGCGAGCACATAAACATTTTAAGAAATGATTGGTACTTGTCACAGTATCGGTGCATCCCTACTTGCAATACATGGCGGGGGGAGTTGGATGGGGCAGCAGCATGCTGCAAGGCTCCTTTAGGTGATCGGGCAGCTGTACCTATGTCAATGGCAGTGAACGGGTTAAAGATGATTTAATATGTTGCCTAAATGCTTGAAGTGGAATGTCAAACACAATTTTCTTTCTTGATAAAGGGTAGAAGGGTTTGAACCTCTGTACATTTTTTATTGCTACCCATGTTCCATGTACCTATCAGGAGATGTCACCTCACTTCCTGTCCTGGTGACAACCCTATCATGGAGACTGGAAAATAATTATTTCCTTTGTGGCTGGTTCACATTCCATACAAAACACAAAAATTCCCCAGCCTCAACCTGCCAGCTAGCCTGCAACCAAACAAGTAGCCCTGTCAACAGTATGCGTTAAAATCAGAGGTTTTAGTTGCACAAACTTTTGGCCAAAAATATGTAGAAGCCACACTGCCGCGCCAAGGCACCTCTGCAAAGTGTGGTCCTAACTCTATGTATGCGAGTCTCCAAGTGTGAGCATATTAATGAAGTCGATAAATTACATGCAGGTGTACCTGGAGGTAGCCAACTTCTCCTAATAAGGTGCACATTCACATTCCATTCACAGCTGAGCATTATCACATGCCCTGCAATGTTCATATATGGGTGTGAATGGGCCCTACGGCAGAGTTAGCCAGTCAGAGGCTCTGCCTAAACTCTGAGCAGAAGAGGCAGTTATTACAATCCCATTATTTCAGTGTAAAGAAAATAGTTCTAACAGCGATAGTTGCTGATACAACATGATGTCTGCACTTTGCCAGTATGGTTAGTTTGAATAAACTGATGTGCTGGACAAGAATGGAAAGTGAACTTATGATAAGAAAAACATAAACATATAGAACGCTACTGCTGATCTCATTCTCAAATCTAGACTGCTGACTGTTGTCTAGAATGTTAATTCATTACTTTAATAGTTTAAGCCACTTGCCCACAGCAAGCATCCTGCCAGTGAAGTCCAAACTTTCAATCTACATGCTCATTTTAGATCATTGATTTAGAATTGTTGAAGCTACTGGATCAGCATGAATGATATCCACGCACCTAGCAATCATCAGCAGCAGAGCTGCTGGCTGCACATTGTCCATACAGTGGTACCTCGGTTCACAAACTTAATCCGTTCCACGATTCTGGTCGCGAATCGAATTGGTTGCGACCCGAATCAAATTTCCCCATAAGGTTCAATGTAAATAAGGTTAATCCGTTCTGACCCCAACGAACGTGGTTGCGAACAGATTTTGGTCACGAACAGAATCACATTTTCCCATAAGGTTCAATGTAAATGAGGTTAATCCGTTCGGAACCATATGTAAATTCATTACCGCTCTGCACTTTCTTTATACAACCATGCTTGCTCTGCACTTTCTTTGGAGCCATGCTGGATTGAATAATACTGTACAGTACTGTATGTGCTAAAAAGCACACAAAAAAGCTTCACAGCAAGTGTGCACAGGTCTGTCTGGGACCGTGATCTCGACTAGAGAAAGCCAGGACCACGTGTCAGAACGGGGGAAGATGGCTGCGGTCGTGTTTGTCATCCGATTTGGAGTTTGTGAACGGAAGCAAAATTTTGTCAAACTTTCTTTTCGCGATCAGAAGCGTTCGTGAACCAAGGTATTACTGTACTTACTTGTCGGCCAGCGGCGGTATCCAATAGAGATGAGCCTGGGCTTTGTGCGAACCCAGTTTGTCTGAGTTCGCCCAAGCTCACTCAAAACCATGACCGCCACTCCCCTCTCCCAGTCCAATCAGTGGTGGCAGTTGCGGCGGAGATATTCCCTGTTCCATTGTGACGTATAGCTGCAGGGCAGGAAACACACCTGAAGCAACTGATTGGGCAGGGAGGGGGGTGTGATGGTTATAGTTCTGAACGGGCTTGGGCACACTGGGTCCACGTACATGGTATACATGTAAGCATTAGCACTAACGTGTACAGCATAAAATACATCAAATTACGGACTGGGAATGCTGATTTTTTTTCTTCCATGCGGCTCAACACAGCACAACATTATCCTGTTGTGAAAATGGGCCCATAGCCTTCTATACTACTACAGATGTTACCTGTGTACACATGCAAACAAAACTGTGCAGTGTTTTTGATGCACATGTTTATGAGCTCCTAAAGCAGAGTTTTTCTTAACCCTTAGGCCCCATTCACACTGAGCGATTCGCAAATTGCGCGATATCGCGCAAATGCTTGCATTGAGCAAGCTAGAATCGCGGCAAAATCCGCTCCAAAAAGGCTCCTGCTGTAGCGACGCACGACCCACGACAGCGACGGACAGAGCCCCATTGCCATGCATTGGAGAGCGATATCACGCGGTAAATAGCCGCGATATCGCGGGAATTACCGCGCGATAAATCGCTCAGTGTGAATGGGGCCTTAGAGTGCGGTACCCCCACACTGCAAGGGTTAAGTACTCATTTGTGTCTAGGTGCTAAAATGGTATGCGATGGTATGTCCCTCAGCATTCTCACGTCCTATACACTGTATGGAACGTGATGACTCAAGGATCCTTAGACCACTGCAGCAGAGGGGGAGAGAGGCTCCAAGGACCAGTATAAGAGCAAACCAGCTAGGAGGATCAGGTGAGTATAACTTTTGTTTAGCACCCAGACACAAATGAGCACTTTAACCTTTGCAGTGCAGGGGTAGCCCCACTTCAAAAAGTTAAGAACCATTTTGCCCAGAGTGACTGTATTTGAATATGCTTCAATGTTATATATTAGGAAAGGGTTCACAAGTCCAAAATATTTTCCCACAGAGGACAGCAGAAACATGTTTATATAAATATTGACTTACAAGATAACATATAGAGTCATGAGAAACAGTGGCTTTAAATCAGGGGTGGGCAACCCCAGCCCTTTAGCTGTGCTTTCACTACAAATCCCAACATGCCTCTGCCTTTGAGAGTAATGCCTGTAACTGTCAGTCTTGCAATGCCTCATGGGACTTGTAGTTCCACAACAGCTGTAGGGCTGGAGTTGCCCACGCTTGCTTTAAACGGTTAAATTCAGCTTTCCTGTGGACAAACAGCGATTCCACAGCCACGCAATGGTTTTATTTGTCAACACCATATGTAAGAGATCATTCGAAGAGCAATCACTATAAAGGAATGTGAGAACTAATAAACAAATGCATTCCATACATGGACTTGTATATATATATATATATAATATTAGCACACCACAATGTAATTATAATACATATTAGTGTTTGTAAATAAAAAAAACAAATTACCTGGTCATGCTTCATAGACACTTCAGGGGTATGGCAGTCCTAGCACACAACACAAATACTTTGGAAGAAGTTTTGTCACAGACAAGTGTAAAGCAGACCCAGGCTGGGAAGGATGCAGACTCTATTCCATGATGAGAGTAGAGAGTGAGAAGAGGAATATCAGCAGGATGTCACCCACCTAGGCTTGTGTGTAGTAGAAGAGACGTTAGAAGCACAGTCTAATCCATTCTCACAGGCTGACAGTGGCACAATCTGCTCTCTTCCTGGAGGAGGGCTCTGTGCAGGAAGACCAATGTATATCACTTCCTGCAGCAGCAGTATTACTTGGGAACCCTGCATAGCCAGCTGTATGTGTGTGCAGAGGCTGCTGAGTGCCATGTCTGAGTATATCACATGTCCTCTGTGTTTTCACTCCTTCGTACAGCTCTCCACACACTGCTAGTTCTCTAGATTCCAAATCATTATGACAGTAGAACACTACACTGACAGATTACACATCTTTTTCACATTCACAAAGGGGGTTCATTGTCATTTCTTTATCATATTTATAACCATATCCTTACTAAAATCAAATTCGACCAATTAAAGCTTTTGAAGTTTGGAAGAGAACTAACAATATTGCATTTATGTTAAAAAATGAAGTTCTTGTGTGTTGGTATGCTGAATCTAATTATTAAAAGGAAAATGTGCATGTTGATGAATTCAATGCAATGTGGATGGCACTCCTCGGGGATTAAGGTGGTGGCCATCCTGTTTTGGGTATAGGTATTATGTCTGTTAGTGCCATGGGTGACGGGGTCATCAATCTATTCAGGATGCAGGCAGTTCTGTGCAATGTAGCAGTCACACCACAGGGGTGAAGGTTGTGGTCCTTCTTTTCTTGAAAATAGTCCTGTTTACAATGTCTGTTAGTCCCAGGGGTGACTGGGCCATCAATCTATTCAGGATGTAGGCAATTCTGTGCAATGTGGGAGTCATTCTGCACATTCTGAGTACAAGCAGACCTGTACAGTGCAGATGTCACTCCTCAGGGGTGAAGGTAGCGGTCATCCTGCTCTGGGTACAGGTAGTCCTATATAATATGTGTTTTAGTCTCAGGGGCAATGGGGCCATCAATCTATTCTGGATGCAGGCAGTCCTGTGCAATGTGGCAGTCATTATTTTCTAAGTACAGGCAGCCCTGTGCAATGTGCATGTCACTTCTCAGGGGTAAAGGTTGTGGTCATTCTGTTCTGGGTACAATAGTCCTGTGTATTATGTATGTTAGTCCCAGGTGTGACGGGGCAGTCAGTCTATTCTAGATGCAGGCAGTCCTGTGCAATGTGGAAGTCACTATGTTCTGAGTACAGGCAGCCCTGTGCAATGTGGATGTCACTTCTCAAGGTTGAAGGTTGTGGTCATCCTGTTCTGGGTACAGGTAGTCCTTTGTATTATGTCTGTTAGTCCCAGGGGTGATGGGGTTATCAATCTATTCAGGATGCAGGCATTCTGTTCTGGTTACAAGAAGTCTTGTGTAATATGTCTGTTAGTCCCAGGGGTGAAGGTGGTCATCAATTTATTCAGGATGCAGACAGTCCTGTGTAATGTGGCAGTCAATCTGTATTCAGTACAGGCAGCCCTGTGCAATGTGGCTGTCATTCCTCATGGGTGAAGGTTGTGGACATCCTGTTCTGGGTACAGGTAGTCCTATTTAATATGTCTGCTAGTCTCAGGGGTGAAGGTGGTAATTACTCTATTGAGGATGCAGGCAGTCCTTTGCAATGTGGCAGTCACTTTGTTCTGAGTACAGGTAATCCTGTGCAATGTGGCTGTCTTTCCTCAGGGGTGAAGGTTGTGGTCATTCTGTTCTGGGTACAGGTAGTCCTATTTAATATGTCTGCTAGTCTCAGGGGTGAAGGTGGTAATTACTCTATTGAGGATGCAGGCAGTCCTTTGCAATGTGGCAGTCACTTTGTTCTGAGTACAGGTAATCCTGTGCAATGTGGCTTTTGTTCTGGGTTGTCTTCTGCATTGGGGCTTCCAGTACTAAGAATTAAAGGTGGTTATCATCCTATTCATAGAACAGACAGTCTATTGATGGTGCGCAGGTAGCCTTTAGCGCTGGAGGATGTGTAGTCTGCTTTTGCTCTCTGTGCCTACCATTTCACTACAGAGTATGATGTGTCCAATAGTGTACTAAGGAAATCAGGAAGAGATAGACTGCATGTTGACCATCAACTATGTGTGGTCAATTTTTACCCTAACACAGAACATGTTTTTTAAAGTTGAACTCCAGGCAGATATAAAAGACACAAATTAATGCAGCTCTGTATTCGTTAATATACTATCAAATGTATTTTTATAAATAAAATACATTTGATAATATTTCAAATGAATGCTGCTTATATTGTGCCAAAATACTAGTTTTAACCACAAGTTCTACTTTGAACTTGCTGTGGCCAGGTCCATTGAGTATATTACAAAATGAAACCACTAGGTGGAGCAGCTACTGTGTGTTAAAGTGTGTCAGACTTAGCTGATATTTGGGGTTAAAGCAGGACACTTTCTTGTGAAACAAAAAAAAACTTTTTTTTTTCTGCAGTCCTGTCTAAAAATTGAACAAATAGTAGCAATGTTTACTAAAACTGTGTCACATTTGGCAACATCACAATTGTCATCTTCTAACAGAGATTAGTGCAAATAACACAATGCAACTTTTGCAATTGGTGCAGTACATTTAAGTGCTGCTGGTGATATTCAAAGACTACATAATGTTAAATATGTTAGTGATAAAGAGCAACAAACCAAATACAAATATTTATGGACTTTTGCGGTATCTGAGGAATGCATTCACATACGTTTTCATAAAACTGTTTTTAATCAACTTTCACTAAAAACTACACATTTTCACAGTAGATTCTTCCTAGCTTTACATCACATTACAATTACTTAAAGAAGAACTCCGGGTATTTGAATGGGTATCCCTGTACTTGAAGGGTTAAGTGCTCGTTTTGGTCTAGTGTCCGGAATAAAGGACTGATGTGCGGTGCCATCCGCATTCACTGTTGCACTCTCCCATTACTAGTTGGGATTGAATTCCAGTTAGGAGTGCGCTGGAATACGGACACCTCAGAATAAAGAGCAAAATCCAGTGTACCCATCGCACTCCTGACTGAATAATACCCTTAGAGTCGGGTGGGTGCCAAAGTGACTGCAGATGCCTCTGCAATCCAAGATAAATGTATGTATAAAGTCACTCGCACGCCAATAGAATTTCAAGTCAAAAACGGTTTATTGACTCGATTACTATCACATACATATAGCTATATGATGTGATAGCAATCGAGTCAATAAACCGGTTTTTACTTGAAATTCTATTGGAGTGCGAGTGACTTTATACATACACTTATCTCAGAATAAAGAAGACGCACTCGCCCAGTCCCATGGTAGTGAGCGCTCACCTCTACTCCGACTGTAGAATGTCCCTCGGCATTCTCACGTTCAATACAAGTCAATAAACAAAATGGCATCAGTGGGGCTTAGACCGCCGGTGCCCGGGGGAGAGAGGCTGCAGGGACCAGTCTAGCAGCCAGATGAGATGGAGGACCAGGTGAGTATATAGTTTTCTTTTTTTAGCCCCTAGACCAAAACGAGCACTTAACCCTTGCAGTGCAGGAGTAGCCCCGCTGCAAGGGGTCCTTTTTTTAAATGAATAGAATTTCCAGCTAACTGTCCCCTGTATATCACAATGCCCTTGCATTCATTGTATTTTTGTCAAATCCTGAGATTGTATCCAGTTGCAGGGTATCATACGGTGACATTAAAGGGAGTCCATCTCTAAGCATTTTGCAGAGCAAACGCCACTACCTCAGGAGCAGCTGGGGACATCCGTAAGGTATACAGTAAGGATCCCAAAATATTTTTCGCTGGTTTATTAATACTGCAGAGTGAGGTGCCTTTCCCATGAGGCTGCTTCTATCCTTAATAATAGCAATAAGACAACAAAGTCTCAAGCAAAAAGCTGGAAAATTGGAATTATTTTAGCATAATAATATCAGTGTGTCTTAAGATTGTTAAAATTAGTAATACAATTATTTTGAGAATGAGCAGATCTTTCATATTTATTCAATGTCAAATGATCTCTTCATGCATGGCCTTCTTAACACTTAGGACACCCATACAGGCTTTGGTTTTAGCAATATGATTATTATGAGCATCAGGCAGTCAGAGTCAGTCAAGTTTATGAAGTCCCTATAGTGACCCTGTGGAAATAAACAAGTAGCAGCTATTGTAAGCAGGTATCTACTGGTGCATACATAAAAACTGTACCTACATATCATGTGGAGCATCCTAGAAGAGATGAAACCCAGGGATTGCTTTAGTATGCAAATCTCATCAAGCTCCTCTGGTGGAAAGCTTGGGCCCTTGCATACCTTACTACTAACCAATAACTGTGAAAGGTGGCCTCAATGACCAACAGTGAGGTGTGGAAAGTTGCAGACCCAAGTTTGAACAAAGGAAATAATCAAGATTTGCATAGGAACATACCATGGATTTGGTGGCTCCCACTTCTTTTCAAGGTATGTAAGCTTACACACAGTTATCTCTAGGCACCAGAATTTAATAGTCACTGATGGCTTAGTGTTTTTTTAGAGACTGCAGGTAACTAAGCTATAATAAACAAAAGACAGTGCTTGAAAAAACTTTCATGTATGCTCACGAGTATGGATGTAAAGGATATCATATTTATGTATATAGATATAATTGACATACAATATTTAGCCTCACTTCCCCTAGGAAGCTTTGTAGGTGCTAAGTAAAATTACTTCTCTTCTTCTGTATGCTGTTATATGTTGTGTTTTCCCGTCAAATATTTGAGAGCACCCACCTCATCACCTCATAAACTGTACAAGACAGAATGAAAAAAAAGATATAGACAGAGACAAGTCAGTGAAGTTATTTGGGCTTGAGGAACCCAATCTTGACTGCAAAAAAAGTTATAGCTTACCCAAAGTCTATAGAAAAAAAGAAGTTCCTTATTTATGATAGGTAAAAAAAAAACATCTGACTTCTGCATTTGTCTCCCAGCAGCAGTTGGCATCTGCTGAAGTCAGTTAGTTTTCCCATATAGTCACCTGATTCTGGCTTTCAGGGGTGGGGATCATGTGATATCTTTGGGAACTAATATATTGAAATGTAGAGTTGGTAAATTCATGACTGAATATGCATATGCCATGAGTAGGCAA